TAAGTATTTTCTATCGTTATCCTTTCGATAAGTTGAGGAATAAAAAAAAAAAATAAATAAATTAATATAATTTGAAATGATACTCACCCAGAGTGCATGTTCATGTTCATGGTCATGTTCATGGAAACGTTCACAGACATGGCTGGTGTGGATGCGTAATGCGTAGGTGGTACAGGTGGGCCAAGATTTTGCGTGTAATCCTGGGAATAATGATGACTGGATCCTCCTGTGGAGTAGTATCCACCGGTAGGACTTCCGGGATGGACCACAGCATGTTTCAACGATAGTAATACGTCTGCGACACCTTCCCCGTTCGTATTGCTCGTTCTTGGCGCGCATTCTCCTCTGGTGCAACCCCAACTGCAAGGACACTTAAAAATTACAAGGTACATCGAATACAGCGTCACAGTCGTTTTTAAGCTACGTGCCTCTTCATGTTCCTTTCGCCGTTTCTCGTCTTAAGAAGTATCGTTTATATAGAGCAGAGTTTTTAATCGCAACTTTTTAAATAAAAGTGAGAAAGAAACATGTTTGTTATAAATTCGGCTCTTTATTGGATGTTGGAATCCAACATGAAAAAAGTGTCGTTCTTCAACATGGAAATATTATGATTTCATGCATCAACGGAAAGTTGATAAAAAAACTGTGCCTGAGATAATCCTACAATGTCAAAAAAATTAGTACTTATACTGGTTTTCATAATTTAGAATATAAATAGAAGAGAAAGAAATTTTGTTTCTGTTAATGAAACTTTTCCGTGTGCAGCGATACGGTTTCAAGTAGAAACGTCTAACATTAATCAGACCCAAAAGTCATCACATTGTTTGAACGGATTGTCAAAAGTTTTATAAAACAATTGGATAGATTAACACTAATGTTTAATAATATATTCCACACATTGAGAGATATTTTACAATTTTTACAAAAAATTAGGTAATTAGGTATCTTTAAACTTTACGCGTGAATGAATAACGATTGATTGAAATGACATAAAAAATGCAACAAGTTTGAACTTAGAAATACTAGAATCTCCTTAATATATTTCTATTGTATTCTATATTTATTCTTCTATTCAGCAAAATATTCACCGGAGGAAACGGAAACGGAAACGGAAACGATTAAATTCTAAAAAAGAAGTCTAAATTCCAAGCCAAAAACGAAAGTAAAACGAAGAGACATTTTCTGCGACTCACTTGTAGGTCCCCGAGCATGGACTGAAGAGACCAGGTGGTAAAGGATCCAAGTCCAGCGGTGGCAATGGAAAGCCAGCCATGTCGTCGACCCAGAAACTTGCTCCAAACTCGCTGACCACTTGGTTTTGCCCAGAATTTTGGATCTGTTGCGTTTGATCGCCACCAATGTCTTCCGGAGAATTTTGCAGATCCTGGAGACGAAGGGTACCCTGTAGAGCACCCAGTGTCTCTTCGTTTTGATTATCTGTTAAGGTGTCTTCGCTGGATAGGACACCTAGAGGTCCGGTGCACAGGCCGGAAGGTATGGTGGCCTCGATACTTCCTACCGAACCTGCGAATCGAAGGGACATGGGAACGGTTATGTCAAATGAAACGAGTAATACGAGTTAAAAAACTGGTAAATAAAATTCAGAGTAACGGTATCTAACGTAGTAAGATCTCCCGTCGAGGAGAGATATGAAAGAAAGTCAAACGGGGAGTATCCAATTTCATCTTCAATTCCAAGACGCTATACTAAATGTAAATGTAAGAATCTGATGGAGAACACACAAAAGACAGACTCCTGGTGACATAAACAAGAATAAAGAATAATGATCGAGGATACATCTAAAATATTTTTCTTTCAATGGCAAGAATAAAATAAATCTTTTCATTGGTTCCTTGATGTCTTAAGTCTCGTGTCACGATACATCTGATAACCAAAAATTCTTTTGCAACCAGGAATATTGTGGCTCACCTGTGCCAAGGGTGTACGGCGGTTCGGAGGTGTTCACCGTGTGATGATTCTGCAGAAACTCCATCTCTGCGAAATTTCTGGTCGCAGCCGCCCTTAGAGACACCCCCTTCCCCCGCCTCTCCTACAAAATACACGGACGGATTGCCTCCTCTCTGTAGAGATGTGGTCCAGCCCCTCTGGTCTCCCTAGCAACCGCACATTGCTCCGTGAGTATGACCGATTTCTTTATCAATATTTTTCGCGATATTTCCACCGCCGCCACCGCCGCCGTCGGCATTTTCTTAATTATAATATCGATTGAAAATGTTCTTTTTTTTTTTATTATTATTATTTTCAATATTTTTGCATTGTTCTGTTAATCATCGGTCTATCGTGCACTCGGAGGCTTCGTTCCTTATTTCGTTGTTCTCTTTTTTTTTTTTTTTTTTTTTTTTGTTTCACAATATTTTGTGAAATTTTGATTTAGTTTCCTCGAGATGACACGATTTGAGGAATTATAGAGTGGTGAATGATTTTCAGTTCAACTAACTCTTCCGTTGGCTCTTAAATGGTAAGATGTTGGAATTGTTAATGCGTAGTGGTGTAATTTGAGGATTTTTAAAAAGCATGTTTATGAGAAGATTTCTTTGTTTTAGACGTTAGAGAATGCTAAGTGTTGCTTGAATGCTTAGTGTTGGAAAAAATTACAAACGAGAGAAGGAAGTATTTTCAAGAGGCTCAGTATTTCAAAAGCTATGTATTAAGAGAATGAGCGTACTTTTTTAGAGAATGATATTTTTAAATATACAAGGTCGTTTAAACATAGTTTAAGGAAAGGATTTAATTACTACTAACTATTTGTTTCACTACGACAATTACAATGAATTATTGTAAATGATTTTTATCCGTTTTAAGGGTTCGTCCGATGTCAAATCATGTTTCTCGGACCGTCTGCGAAGTTATTTAAGAAGTTCCGTCACTTCATTTATCAGTCGTGTAATATTGTTCGAAAAACGCGACGACATAAATAAAAAAAAAAAAATCAGTGAATTTCATGAATGACTTTTTATGAATGGCTGAAAGGAAAATGCACGTGCATATGGACCGAGCGTATAGAAGTACCTTTATGGCTTGGAAGACCTGCCGGTCTCCTCTAAAGGCTTCTGCAGAAAATCTGCCAGATATTTTCATTCATAGCCTGAAAACCATGTGCATCTTCCCACGTGATTCGGTTCTCCATATTCGACAGCTTGAATGATCATCGCCTATTTCAAATTTCGCGTTTCGTCGAGTTTCTTCGCACAAAAAAGATTAATTCTCTGCTCTCTTCACTTTGAAACTTGTCCTTCTACCTTTCTCTTCCTCGACGTTTACGAGACGTAACAGGTATCTAGTATTTGTTATATCGAAATATAGGAATTAAAGACTTCGCTTCACATTGAAATTTTTAGAGTTTAATTGTCCAAGGCGTTGCTTTTGCACGATCCACACCGAACATTGAACAAACACGAAACATCGTCACATAGTTCCTTCAAAGTTATCCTACGTTCTTCTTTCTGTTCTTGTACAGACTTTTTATTCTTCTCTCAGACATTTCTGAAGTCTGCCCTATCCCAATCCAGAATTATATAAAATCTCTTTAATCACTATTCACCCTCTATGATTGAGTTTTCAGTCTGATCTTGAACCACAGAGGAGACATAATTGCACTACGTACACTGTTCTTCTTCTTTTGCTGTGAAACACACTCGGAACATCCAAAGGAATCCAGAGGAAAGTTGACAAGGCAAATCACAAGCTGAGTCGCGTGTTGAGTTGTTGAATCACACTGAAATCTCGTTTTTGACGTTGTGTTAAAGTTTATCGAAATCGTTGCAGCCGATGTCAATCTTGGGGTAATAAAAAGAAGAAGCCGAGGAGGAAGAAGTTTTGAGGGATGACATCGCGTGCTGCTGCCATGCACGATGGCTTGTCAATGTGTCTTGGCTAACTAGGGATCTACCACCTACTATCACCCACTCTCACCCCTTACACACACTCACTGCTACTTCGACCCCACTCCACCATAGGCCGGCCTTTTCGTCGCTCTCTTTTTTCCTCCACCACGTCTGACTTCGTTCCGTGTACGTACCATCTTCCTCTTCCTCTACCCCTACCCCCGAACAACGTTAACCTTCCGTCCATACTTCCACGGCAAGGTGTTTGCTAAGGAGATTTGCAGGACTTTTCAATTTTGCCCGCGGTCAAATGCGAACCGACGTTTTTTTTTTGCATTCGGTAATCTTTACCTATTATTAGAATTAATACATTTACTGCTGATCGAATTTCCAGTGCTTATAATATATGCTAATGAATCGTTCTCGTATATCTCTGGCTATAGGTGCAAGGATACTTGTTTAAACTACACTTGTCGGAAAACACCATCAAATTTCACTTTATCTAGTGTCTTGTGTTATAAAGCGTACACGATGAAAGCTATATAAAATTTGTACTGAGATACATTGACAAGCGTTCCAATACTTATGGCTATTTAACGATTTCATTTGCACACTGTTCACTGGGAGAACACTGGAAGAAGAGAGAATCGTGGTACGTGTTGCAACGTAGAAAAACACGAAAGTCTGATCTGGAAACGAGCAAACTGCTCATGAGGACTCAACGAGGAACAGTTTGAACGATATCCATGTCCACAGGCGTGTAAAACGCAAGACGTTGGAGTACACGAGTTGGCCGACGACACGGGATACCTATTAATCGTTCATTCGGCGATCGGTGATCGGTGATCGGGGGACTCCTTCGAGCCTGGCTCGTCTCTGCTACATCGATATCCCCGTTGCCAGGGCGGGACGGGGAAGTAGGATATTATTTTCTTCAGATACCATTACCACGCCGATCACGGTGGTCCTGCCTCGCAGACGAGTGGTCCCGATACCCTCGAGATCACTGGCTTGTAATGCCTTCCCTTTCGTGGATTATTGACCAGTGAACGGTGAGCCCGGCTGCGAAACACTCCGATGCTACCTATTCCACTTGCGAGCCACCCTTTTTGACCGCCGCCACCTTGGCAAATCGTTCCTCCGTCGACGGAGTGGGAACACTCCTCCAGAATAATTGAAGACAGGATATAAATTTTCTGGATACAAATCTGCAAATTCTGGGCAAGTTAATGCTCTATGGCACTTTAATTCTCTAATACATACTTTTAGAAACACTGTCGCTCGAGTTATTTGCAACACTTTGCGGCTTTTTTCTAATCTGAGAATCTTTTCGTACGTTTCATTTAAAAAAAAAAAGAATTTGTCTCCCGAGCAAGCTCGATACTCATCGTTCAACTAGAAGTTTTTTTTTCGCAAAGGTCTTTTACAAGGTTTCTTGCTTTATGCGCTTCGTTGAGATTGTTGCCCTATTCTTGCGAGAAGTTCAGCAGGCTTTACCGATCGGGGATAGCGTCAGTGTGAAACCTGTGGTTTAATTACGTGTATGCGTTTAGTAGTACAAATATTTGTACATTAAATTCATGTAACTGGATAGCAGTGTTAAGATCGTGTTTAAATACGAAGCCTTGTGTATCGTTATTAAATTGTTACGGACACCTGTATTAGCTCGTCTACGCGCATTAGAATAATTATAACAAAAGTTTTCGGCAGAAGTACGTCAAGCTTTGAGAAAAAGTGACACTTTGTCGTCCGTATCACTCAGAGATGGAAATTCGAATAGAAAAATTTAAAATGAAAATAACATTCAGATAGTGTTCGTATTCGTGGATTAACAATTCGATCCGGTTTTTCTTCTTCAGCTAGACTCTTCAAATAACGGAGTGTCTGAAACATAAGCTAGAAAGAGTAGTGAAAAGTGCGAGTACTCGTTTCTTCTTTGACGAGCGCCAAGAACGCGAGAATGCTGGAACCGCACTTCCGGATTGAAGGAAAAGAGCAGTCAGCCGTTAGGTGGAAGGTGATCAGAATTGGAAAAAATGCGAATTGGCTGAAAATGTCTCTCACGAGGCCCCAGGCGCATCCGACTATCGAATGTCTCGACATAATCGCGACCGTCAGGCCGGACACCTGACTGTAGTTCCGACGTGGACACAGGAAGAGGACGTGGACACAGGAAGTCAACCGCACGGCACCGTTCTCGCGTCTACCGTGTGTCACCAACGTGAACCATCGAATATCCAAGGATCGTGTTCACTTCTATCATCTCCTCGTTTCTACATAGCGATTGAAACGATTAGAATTGCAATAATAATAACGTGATAAAACGGAGAACAGAT